TAACAGACCAGATTCCCTTGAGGCCCCTCTTGAGAGGAGAGGTGGGGGATGAGACCTAATGAGGGGGTTGAATGTTAGCCTGAGGCCTGGAAATGGAAAAGCAGTTGGAGGGCCAACTCCCATAAATATATATGCCCTGGGTAGAATAGCATAGGAAATGCAGTTGGCCAAAGATCTGATAATTCCACAGATTTGCAGCAAGAAATGTAAAGAAATAAAGAAAAGCTCACAAATACTTCGAGGATACATTCTCAAGCAAGTCCTGACTATCGTTTTTTACTATATAGAATCAGCAGTTAGGTAAGGCTAATACCCAATATCATAAATACTGGAGAAAGACATGCCCAGGTTGTGGGCCCAATCCCCAGTGGGGGTCATGCAGGAGGCGGCCAATCGATGTTCTCTCTCATCTATGTTTCTGTCTCTCTCTTCCTCTTCCTTCCTCTCTCTCTAAAATCAATAAAGAAAAAAATAAAATCAATAAAGAAAAAATTTTAAAAGATGTTTCTGGGGTATATTGAAATTTTGAGAGAGCAGACACTTCTAGGAGTGTAAATCTGTGCAACTTCTTAGCGGCACAGTTTGGTAACATTTTCTCAGAATTTAAAAAATGAACATATTATTTGACCTAGGATATGTTTTAAGAATTTATCTTACATATGTCGCAAAGAAATATGTGAGAGGATAGTCATTACAGCATTGTTTAATAATACCAACAACACACCCACTAATGTTCATCTTCAGGAAGCTAAATTATGCTAACTATACAGTTGAATGCCATGCAGTTGTTAAAAGAGCTGGGTACACTTATATCTGCTAACATAATTGATCACTATGATAAAATTGAGTGGAAAAAAGGCAAGGTGCAGGGAGTGAGTTTAGTATGATTCCATTTGTATTTAAAAGAAATTAAGTGAGCCCGGCCAGTGTGGCTCAGTGGTTGAGCATCGACCCATACACCAAGAGGTCGCCTGTTTGGTTCCTGGTCAGGGCACATGCCCAGGTTGTGGGCCTGATCCCCAGTGGGGAGCGTGTGGGAGGCGGCCAGTCCATGTTCTCTATCATTGATGTTTCTGTCTCTGTCTCTCTTCCTCTCGCTCTGAAATCAATAAAGAAAGAAAAAAAAGAGAAATTAAATGAAAATAAAATGATGGGAAAGCCACATAAGTGTTAGCAATAACTATATGTGGGGAGTAGGACTGAGGTGGGGGCAGGGAGAAAGAGAAATGTCTTCTTTTATAATATTTTATGCTATTTGGGTCTTTTCAAAACCTTGTACATATAAAGACAGGTTTTTGTTTTGTTTTTAAATTTTTTATTTTATTTTAATTTATTTTTTATCCTCATGCAAGGACATTTTTCCATATTTTGTTCAGAGAGAGTGGGAGGGGAAGAGAGAGAAAGAAACATAGACATGAAAGGGACACATCGAGTGATTGCCACCCGCACAACCCAACCTGGGCCGGGGACAAACTGCACCCGGGGTACATGCCCTTAGCGGGAACCGAACCCGGGTCTCTCTGGACCGCAGGCTAACGCTCTAACCGCTGAGCAAAACCAGCCAGGGCTTAAATTTTTTATTTTTGATAGATTTTAGAGAGAGAGGGAGGAAAAGAGAGAGAAACATCAATTTATTGTTTCACTTATTTATACATTCATTGGTTAATTTTTTTTTTTTTTTAAACTTGATGTCACATGGATTCTACTACAATTTATTTATTTTTTGGTACGTGCCCCTAGCAGGAACCAAACCCGGGACTCTCTGGTCTACAGGCCAACGCTTCGACCACTGAGCCAAACCGGCCAGGGCTCATTGGTTAATTCTTGTATGTGCCCTGACCAGGGATCGACCCTGGAACCTTGCTATATTGGGTTGATGCTCTAACCAACTGAGCTACCTGGCCAGGGCCTCAAAGACTAGTTTTAAAACAGATTATATTTGCCTAGCTGGTGTGGCTCAGTGGTTGAACATCAACCCATGCACCAAGAGGTCACCGGTTCGATTCCTGGTCAGGGCACATGCCCAGGTTGTGGGCCAAATCTCAGTGGAGGGCATGTAGGAGACATCTATTTTTCTCTCTCCCTCTCCTATCTTCTCTCTCTAAAATCAATAAAGGGGGGAAAAAAAAAACCCAGAATATGTTTTAGAATAAAATAATACAGAGCTATGTATAAAATTAGTGGCTCATAGCAAAAGGGGGTACACTTGACAATCATATTACATGTACAACTTTGGGCATGTTGAGCTGAAGTATCTGCATGTAATCTTTTTTATTTTTTATTTTAAATGTTGTATTGCTTCAGGAAAGTGAATCAAATGGTATAGTGACTCTAATTATGGCTGTGATAATTGCTGTTATTTGTTTAGCCTCTAGTCTGATACTGTGCTGGTGGCTTTGCCACTGTTAGTATGTTCTGGAAGTTGTGTATTATTACCTTTGTTTTCCCTATGGGAACTGAGACACATGGAGGCTAAGTGACTTGTCCAGGGTCACATGGTGAGGTAGGTAGCAAAACACTGATTCACATCTGAGTCTTTTATTTTTTTATTTTTATTTTTTAAATTTTTTTGGTATGTGCCCCTAGCGGGAACCGAACCCAGAACTCTCTGGTCCGCAGGCCGACCTCTGAGCCAAACCAGCCAGGGCTATTTTTTTTTTTTTTTTTATTTTATAATTTTTCTTTATTGATTTTTGAGAGAGAAGAAGGGAAAGGGAGAGAGATAGAAACATCAGTAAGAGAGAACATCAGTTGGCTGCCTCCTGCATGCCCCCCACTGGGGATTAGGCCAACAACCTGGGCATGTGCCCTGACTGGGAATTGAACCCAGTCAGGGCATGTGCCATTTGACCTGGTAACCTCTTGGTGCATGGGTCGAAACTCAGCCACTGAGCCACATCAGCTGGGCACATCTGGGTCTTTTAAACTGTCTTCCCTACTGTGCCTCAAACTTCATTGGGAGAAAGTATGGGAAAACAATGATACATGTCTCAGTCTGCTTGGGCTGCTATAACAAAATACTACAGACTGGGTGGCTTTAACAACAGAAATTGAAAAAGGAAAAAAAAATTATTTCTCACAGTTCTTGGGGCTGGTAAATCTAAAATCAAGGTGCCAACAGGTTTAGTTCCTGGTGAGAGCTCTCTTCCTGGCTTACAGATGGCTGCCTTCTCATGTGTCCTCACGTGATATTTCTTATAGAGAGATCTGGTGTCTCTTCCTCTTCTAAGGATACCAGCCCTAGGGGCTTAGGGGCCTACCTTTATGACCTCATTTAACCTTCCTTGCCTCTTCACAGGCTCTATCTCCAAATATAGTAATAAATTCAACATAGGAGTTTTGGGGAACACAAACATTCAGTCCTTAACAATACAATATGAGTAAAAAGAAGAGAAGATTTACATGCACATATATATAAGAGACTGGTCTAAGACAATGTATAATAAAGTGTTACGCTTTACTCTTTTATTTTATACACACATACACACACAAAGATGTTTCTTATGGGGGGAAAAATCCCAGAAAATATGGATAGACAAAACAGAAGAAAATAAAAATCACCCCAAATCTTGCCATACAAAAGTAACTGCTTTTATTTTTTTAAATATATTTTTATTGATTTTTTTTCTTATTTTTTTGGTATGTGCCCCTAGTGGGAACCGAACCCGGGACTCTGGTCCACAGGCCAACACTCCAATCGCTGAGCCAAACCAGCCAGGGCTATTGATTTTTTTTAGATAGAGAGGAAGGGAGAAGAGGAGAGACGTAGAAACACTGATGAGAGAAACATCAATTGGCTGCCTCCTGCATGCCCCATACTGGGGATTGAGCCCGCATCCTGACTGGGAATTGAACCAGTGACTTCTCAGTTCATGAGACAACACTCAGTCCACTGAGCCACACTGGCCAGGCAAAATTAACTGCTTTTAAAAAGCAAGGTACAGCCCAGCTGGTGTGGCTCACTGATTAAGCGTCATCCCATGCACTAAGAGGTCACTGGTTTGATTCCTGGTCAGGGCACATGCCCAGGTTGTGGGCCAATTCCCCAGTGGGGGGCATGCAGGAGGGAGCCAGTCGATGTTCTCTCGCATCAATGTTCTAATCTGTCTCACCCTCTCCCTTCCTCTCTCTCTAAAATCAATAAAGAAAACAAATTTTTTTCTTTTAAAGCAAGGTACATTGAAACAACTGTGAGGTATCTCCTCACACCTGCCAGAATGGCTGCCATCAACAAATCATCAAACAAGTGGACTCTAGTGTACTGCTGGTGGGAATGCAGACTGGTGCAGCCACTATGGAAGACGATATGGTGTTACCTCAAAAAGTTAAAAATTGAACTGCCATTTGACCTGGTGATCCCTCTTCTAGGAATATATCCTGAGAAGCCTGAAACACCAATCAGAAAGAATATATGGCTCTGGCTAGTTTGGCTCAGCAGTTAGAGTGATGACCCATGGACCAGAGTCCCGGGTTCAGTTCCTGCTTAGGTCATGTACCTCGGTTGCAGTTTGTCCCCGACCCTGATTGGGTTGTGTGGGTGGCGACCACTGGATGTGTCCCTTTCACGTTGATGTTTCTCTCTCTCTCCCTCCCTCCCACTCTATCTGAAAAAAATAGCGAAAAAATGTCCTCGGGTGAGGATAAAAAAAAAAATGAGAAAGAAGTAACTGGTATTAATGTTCCAGTGAATTTTCCTTTAGGCTGTGTGAGTGTGTTCCTTCATTTTCCCTATATTTGACCCTTGAGATATATGTGTGCACGTGTATGCACACATTCACAATCTGTCAATATATATCTCTTAAGTATCCCAATAAGATATACAAGTTTTTCAGACAATATAATGACAAATATATTGACACTGGTGGTGGGTATTGTGAATATTTGTAACTTGAAGATGATTACCTATGTGTTATTCTTTTCTCTCTTTATGGTTGGATGGGATCTGGGAACACTGACCAGGAGTAGAGTTTTACTGATGTTTTGTGTTATTCTCTTCACAGCAGTTCTCAGCCCTGACAGAAGTGCTTTTTCACTTCCTAACTGAGCCAAAAGAGGTAAAGTATTTTGTGATAAGGAGTGTTCCTGAGTATGGGTCTATAGTCCTGAGATGCCTAGAAAGTGAAGGCCTCGTTTGTGCTATTCCCTCTCTGCAGGTGGAAAGGTTTCTGGCTCAGCTCTCTGAATTTGCCACCACCAATCAGATCAGTCTTGGCCCCCTCAGAAGCATCATGAAAAGCCTCCTTCTGGTTTCAAATGGTGAGTAGCCTCTCTCAGCAGCTGAGGTCAGAGACATTACTTGCACATTCCTTCAGTCCACAGAGTAGGCAGGCGCGTTCTGGGCGCTGAGCCAGAGCATTCAGCAGTGAACCAGACATGGGCAGGAATCAGTCTAAGGAGGGAAGTCAGGTAAACAGATAACCCTGATGGAGTATGATAAAGTTGCAGTTCAAAGTGTAGTCTGCATCCCAGTTTCAGTCCCCAAAATGTTATTTGGTCTCTGCCCTGGCCAGTTTGGCTCAGCAGTTAGAGCATTGACCTGCGGTCCAGAGAGACCCGGGTTCGGTTCCTGCTAAGGGCACACAACTTGATTGCAGTTTGTTCCCGGCCCTGGTTGGGTTGTGTGGGTGACAGCCACTCGACGTGTCAGTGTTTCTCTCTCTCTCTTCCCCTCTCTCCCTCCTACTCTGTCTGATCAAAAAATAGAAAAATGTTGAGTGAGGATAAAGAAAAAAATGTTATCTGGTCTCCTATACAGTAATCACAGAAAATGAGAGTAAGCATTTAGAAACTTTTATCGCAATTTGACGGTCTGTTACATCTAATAATTTTTTTAAAAAATGGTGCTTGGTGTGTTTTTTTTATGTGGTAAAATATATGTAACATAAACTTTATTATTTTAATCATTTGGGGCTTATATTTTGTACGTGTTTTTTCATGTCCTATTTCTAGGAATTAATTTTCATTGTATTTTACAAATATATTGATCTGAGATGAATTGAAAACAAAAAATGCAGATGGTGTGAGAAGCAGAGTTTGCCTAGAGCGTCAGGAAATGTCTAGCCCGGAGGGAGGAGGTCAGAAAGGCATGGCTGTCGCAGTGTTCATTCCAGCACTGGTTACGATAGATAAAAATTAGAAACAATTAAATTGCCCAGCAACTGGAGATTGGTGTGAGGAGTTGTGGTCCATTTTTAACCAGAGCATATTCTGGTGGTGAAGAATTCACAGTTCTGAATTAGTTGGACCAGGTGTGAATTCCAGTCTGTCATTTGTGTGACTTTGGCTAGTACCCATCTCTCCCAGCCCCTACCAACAACCCCTCCTTAGCAGTCTTTTCCCTCACCCTCCAAATCTAGGCTTTTTTTTCTTTTGGTGTGTGTGTGGAGGAGCTTGTACTGAAGACTGAGGTCATGTAAATAAAATGCTTAGCACAGTACCTCAGTAAAAGGTTGCTCCTGTTTTTCAGATTATGTAGTAATTTAAAAAGATGCTATTGAGGAAAATGTAATGATATGGAAAACCTTCCACAATATACTGTTTGATAAAAGTAGTAGTTTACAAAACTTTCTACCACAATTCTATTTTTGTAGAAGGCAAAAAGAAGAAAAAGGAAGGAAGGAAAGAAAGAAAACAAATGTTAACTGTGGCTATATCTGGATGGTAGGACTGCAGCTTGTTTTGATTGTTTATTTTTGGCTGTGTATTGTCTAAAAATTTGCTAGAATTAATTTGGCAATTTAAAGTTACTTTTAGCCCTGGCCAGTTTGGCTCAGCGGTTGGAGCTTTGGCCCACAGACCAATGAGTCGTGGGTTTGATTCCAGTCAAGGGCACGTACTTTGGTTGTGGTTCTGTCCCCGGCTCTGGTCAGGTTGTGCGGGAGGCAACCAGTCGATGTGTCTCTCTCACATCAATGTTTCTCTCTCTCTCTCTCTCTCTCTCTCTCTCTCTCTCCCTACCTCCCTCTCTCTCCCTCTCTCTCCCTTTCCCTCTCCCTCTCCTCCCCACCACTCTGATAATAAGTGGAAAACTGTCATCGGGTGAGGATTTAAATAAATAAATAAATAAATAAAAATAAAGTTACTTTTATTTTTTTTAAGATTTTTATTGATTTTTTTAGAGAGAGAGATAGAAACATTGAAGTGAGAGAGAAACATCAATCGGCTGCCTCCTGTAAACCCCCCAACTAGGAATCAAGCCCACAACCTGGGCATGTGTCCTGACCTGAAATTGAACCGGGACCTCTTAGTCCATGGGATGGTGCTTAATCCACTGAGCCACACCAGCCAGGCAAGTTAATTTTATTTAAAGAGAGGCAACATTTGAGCCCAATCTTAAAAGAATCAATAAATGTTGACAAGGCTGAGAGGACTAAAACAGCATCTCTGGTTTGTACATTTAAAAAATCAGTGATAGCCCTAGCTGGTTTAGCTCAGCAGTTAGAGCATCTGGGAGTCCTGGGTTTGGTTCCAGCCTGGGGCACGTACCTTGGTTGTGGTTTGTCTCTGGCTCTGGTGGGGTAGAGCGGGAGGCAATGAATCACTGTGTCTCTCTCATTGATGTTTCTCTCTCTCTCTCTCCTCTCTTCCTCTCTCTCAGAATCAATAAAAGAAAAAATGTTTTACAAAAATCAGTGATAAGCTGATTTTCCCAGGATTTCAGCCAAATGGTGCATTAAAAGTCAGGGGTTTAAATTGTTTGTTCCTGTTGGGTGTCTTCCCATATCTTAGTGCAGATCCCTTTCCTTTGCCTTGCCTTGTGCTCCAGAGATTCTGGAGGCTTGACTCAGAACATCCCTGAGGTTTTCAGCTGTGACATTTTATGATCCTCTGTTTGTGTGATTCTTGCATTCTTTGCTTTCCTGGAAGGTTAAAGGCCTGTGAACCACAAGGCTGGATGGGAATTTGCAGTCTTTTAAAACAGGAATAAATTTTCATTGTAAACTTGAAAAAGTGCAGAGCTGCCCTGGCCGGTTTGTCTTAGCGGTTAGAGCATAAGCCTGTGGTCCAGAGAGACCCGGGTTCGGTTCCCACTAAGGGCACGTATGGTTGCAGTTTGTCGCCGGCTCTGGTTGGGTCTTGTGGGTGGCAACCACTCCATGTATAAAAATGTCCTCGGGTGAGGATAAAAAAAAAACACAGAAAACAGTGCAGAGCCATGGAGAGTCAAAAGTGAAAATTCCCTTTTACTGTTATCCCATTCTTGTCTCTAGAAATAATCACAATGCAATTTTGGTGTATGTCCTTTTGTATTTTTTTTCTCTTTATTAATTCGAGAGAGAGAGGAAGGGAGAGGGAGAAAGAAACATTGATGAGAGAACATCGATTGGCCGCCTCCTGCGTGCCCCACAACTGGGGATTTGGCCATAACCTGGGCATGTGCCCTGACTGGGAATCAAACTGATGACCTCTTGGTTCATGGGTTGATGCTCAATCACTGAGCCATACTGGCCGGTCTGTCCTTTTGTATTTTTATATGCACTAACAGACTCACGTGTAGTGATGGCAATAAATGGTAGTAAACCACAGAATAGCTCTGCAGCTTGCATTTTTTTCATACCTCTCCATATCAACTGCATTCTTCTGATGACTATACTACCTTGGACTAAAAGTATCTTTTTTTAGTTAATCCATTTCCTATTGCTGGACACTTTAGTTGCTGTGCCTTTTAACTCCTAGAAACAGTGCCATAGTGAACATCCTTAGGACATTTGTATACTCACCGTATGGGAGCATTTCTGTAGGACAGGTGCCCAGAGTGCAGAACCAGCAGTCTTTGCTTTTATTATCAAGCCTACACCTTTGGGAATGGGTTTGTCTACAGGTGGCAACCTATCTACCCAGTGGCTGTTGTGGACACTTGATTTTCCTGGAGATCTCTGTCTGGTGTCTCTTCCTCCATTCTTTCCTGTCTTTTTTTTCATCTCTGCTCCCTGTTCCACTCCATCCTGTCAAACTGCCTTTAGTCCTCCCCAGCCTCGCGCTGCTGCTTTCAGAAAGCCGTCCTCTTCAGTTCACAGTGACCTTCCTTCCTCTCAGCAGCTGGGGTCTGGTTGTTTATTATCTGCATCTCTCATTTTGAACCATAATCATTTACTTTTCTATTGTTCATACTGCTTTTTATGTGTGTATCTCATGACTGTAACGGATAGCTAATTCCTTGAAGTCAGGGGCTGACTGATCTTGTACTACTTTCTGAAGTCAGGGTTACAAGTTAACTAATGATGTAGAGCAAGAGCTTAGTACATACTGGGTGAATTGAACTGAATTTGAGATATCCTGTGACCGTCCTTTGCAGGAGATGTTGGGCGTTTTTCAAGCAGGATTGATTATCAGTGTTTACAGAAGGTCTTTTTTTTTATCCTCACCCAAGGACATTTTTCCATTTTTTGTTCAGATAGAGTGGGAGGGAGAGAGAGGAAGAGAGAGAGAGAGAAACATCGACGTGAAATGGACACATCGAGTGGCTGCTACCCACACGACCAACCAGGGCCAGGGACAAACTGTAACCGAGGTACGCGCCCTTAGCGGGAACCAAACCTGGGTCTCTCCGGACCGCAGGCCAATGCTCTAACCGCTGAGCCAAACCAGCCAGGGCCATATTTTTTTTTGTTTTGTTTTTTTTTATCCTCACCCGAGGACATTTTTCCATTTTTTGTTCAGATAGAGCGGGAGGGAGAGAGAGGAAGAGAGAGAGAGAGAAACATCGATGTGAAGGGGCACATCGAGTGGCTGCCACCCGCACGACCAACCAGGGCCGGGGACAAACTGCAACCGAGGTACGTGCCCTTAGCGGGAACCGAACCCGGGTCTCTCTGTACCGCAGGCCGACGCTCCAACCGCTGAGCCAAACCGGCCAGGGCAAGAAGGTCATTTTTTTATAGATGCAGAGAACACTGAAGAACTCAGAGCACACCAATTCAGACCTGGGCTTTGGAGGCTTACAGGATTTGAGTGTTTTTCACCTAATGTAGTTATTTGCCCTTCACAAACCGGCCTCTTGGAAGCTCAGTTTCTTATCTGAAAAATGGAATAATAAGAGAAGTTCATGGCGGTGGCATTAGGAATAAGTGAATTAGTATGTGTAAAGCACTTAGTTCATCATTTGCTACACTTCATATTTATTTGTTGATAGTTCAGTTAGTTTCAGCCCCATGCCTCAATATCGGGTTATAAAATAAAACGTTCTTTCATCTAATGGAGAGGGTCTGAATTCACTTCTTAACTAATTCATGCCCCAAAACTGTCAAGTTTTTCAAATTCTGTAATTGAAATTTCACATTTGCTGTACTTCTGTTAGCTTTCTACAGTTGATTTTACTCTTCTTTTTGTTTCCTTGCAATCTGACTTTTGTCTTCCTGCAGAGTTTTCCTACTTGAATTCTCCATTTCTTCTAGAGTGTCTCCTAAGCATCTGACACTGTAGCTTAGAAGTCTCCGGGTCTCTTCCTCGTCCCTCGGACTTGTGTGTCATTTCCTTTCCAGTCCCAGAGGCTGCCTTCCCAGAACAAGTTCTTGGCCCTGTGTACTTTATTGTGGCAGTAACATCTCCACTTCCGTTCTCCCATCCCTGATTCCATTTTGCTGTAGAGTACCCTTCGCCAGCATGGTGCTCTTCTCAACTATTTACTTGACATAATGAAGTCTGCAGTCCTTTATTCAGTATTCAAGGCCTTTCCCAATCTGAAAGGTAAGACCCTCATTCTGGTCCTGCCTGTGCAGTTAGACTTCACTGTAGAAGCATAGTTTATTAGAGCTGAATGGCCTCGGACCTTTCAGATAAGTCATTCCTAAATTTGTGTTTTCATTCAGAAAAGGCTAGAGAGGCCAGTCTGAAAATACTGCCTCCCCACCTTCCCAGCCTTAGAACCTTTAACATATCTTAGTCTCTGAAAAATCCTGCAGTAAAGAAACCTGCTTAACCAGTATGGAACCCTTTTTTTTTTTTTTGGTCAGGAGGAGGGTCAGGCAAGAACTTTGTAAAGTGCTGATGTGCTGATCTAATCTAATCTTAAGGTCTTAGAGATAAAGAAACAGAGCATTAACAGAAGGGAAGCAACTTGCTTTACAGTGGAAACGCTGGGCTAGAACCTCCCTTGACTGAGTTAAAGCCTAGTGGACTTTTAAAATGTTTATCTTTTACTATTTAGTATTTAATCTAAAAACACCTGACTTCAATAGTTAATCAGCCCATTGCCAAATTGTTTCATCTGTGTCCCACCCACTTCACCTGCTGCTCTCCAAACTGGATTATTATTTTTTAAATATTAGAGAGGAAGGGAAAGAGAAACATCGATGTGAGAGAGAAACATCAGTTGGCTGCCTCTTTCACACCCCATACTGGGGATCGATCCTGAAACTTGGGCATGTACCCTGACTGGGAATCGAACCAGCAACCTCTTAGTGCATGGGTTGACGCTCAGCCACTGAGCCACACTGGCTGGGCAAGAGCTACCACCTTCTTAAAGGCTGCATAGGCCCTGGCCAGTTTGGCTCAGCTGTTAGAGCATCGGCCTGTGGTCCGGAGAGACCCGGGTTCGGTTCCCGCTAAGGGCACGTACTTCGGTTGCAGTTTGTCCTCAGCCCTGGTTGGTCGTGCGGGTGGCAGCCACTCGATGTGTCCCTTCACGTCGATGTTTCTCTCTCTCTCTCCCTCCCACTCTCTCTGTACAAAAAATGGAAAAATATCCTCGGGTGAGGATAAAAATAAAAAAAAAAAAGGCTGCATAGTATTCCATCGCATGGATTCTTTCATTTGGAATGTTTTCTTTAGTGCCAACCAATAAACAATGCCTGATATTATTCTAGGAACTTGGGACACAGCATTGCATAAAACAGACTGAGTTATTGTCGAACTGACATTCTACTAGAAAAACTGACAGTAAATATGTAACAAACTTAGGTAGTTATAGCCCTGGCCAGGCAGCTCAGTAGCTTAGAACTTAGAGCATCATTCCGATATACCAAGGTTATGGGTTTGATCTCAGTCATGGTGTATACAAGAATCAAGCAGTAAATGCATAAATAAGTGGAACAACAAATTGATGTTTCTCTCTCTCTCTCTCTCTCTCTCTCTCTCTCAAATCAGTAAGAAAATTTTAAAAATTGGATAGTTACAAATGCAGTGCAGAAGAATGCAGCAGTATAAAGGTACACGTGAAGAGCAGTGCCACTTGAAATAGAGTGGTCAAGGGAGCCTTTAGGAGTTGAGATTCAAGCAGAGGCCAGAAGGAAGTGAGGGAATGAGCCACGTGCTGATTTGAGAGTGTTCCCAGCAGAGGGAACTGCCAAGAGCAAATGCCTGGAGGGAGGAATCTGCCTGGGATATTATAGGAAAAGCAGAGTAAGCAAGAGAGAGAGCCTAGGGCAGTGGTTCTCAACCTTCCTGATGCTGCTACCCTTTAATACAGTTCCTCTTGTTGTGGTGACCCCCAACCATAAAATTATTTTTGTTGCTACTTCATAACTGTAATTTTGCTACTGTTATGTCTTAGGTGACCCCTGTGAAAGTGTCGTTCAACCCCAAAAAGGGTCGCAATCCACAGGTTGAGAACTGCTGTATTAGAGGGTTTTGAGCAGCAGAGGAGAAGTCTGAATTAAGTTTTAACAAAATCCAGGCCACTGTGTGGATGCACCAAAACCAGCCCACTGTTCCTGACTTTTTTTTTTTTATCCTCATTCAAGGACATTTTTCCATTTTTTTACTCAGATGGAGTGGGAGGGAGAGAAAGAAAGAGAGAGAAACATCGACGTGAAAGGGACACATTGAGTGGCTGCCTCCTGCACGACCCAGCCAGGGCTGGGGACAAACTGCAATCGAGGTACGTGCCCTTAGCGGAAACCAAACCCGGGTCTCTGTGGACCACAGGCCAATGCTCTAACCACTGCTCCAAACCAGCCAGGGTTGTTCCTGACTTTTTATCTTTACTACTGACATTGCTAATGAGCTTCCCACGTTCTTAGTGTACTTTTAGGGTGAATCTGTTGGGTGAATTTTTGGCATTGCAGTGGTTGACTATGTACATTTTCCAAATTTTCTCCCTCCAAAGCTCAATCTTTAGTTTCCTGGCAAATTAAAGATTTCAATAATAATGCCCACTTCAGAGTACTTTGGGATCATCAAGTAAAATGTTGGGTTTGAACTAGATAATATATGAAGGAACTATACTTGTGATAGTTTGAGTTCATTGGATTGGCTAGGAAGTAACCCCTTCTTGGAAGACCTTTATGGCCAAGGTTTCCTGGGGTCTTGCCTTTTTATTTCCCTGTGGCTTCCTTGCTCCGACTGATTTTGGAGATAAAAGATTTCCTTCTTTTGTTTACATGGCTTATTTTGCAGGGACAACAGCCTTTAGGATTGTTTTTCTGGAGTGAGACGGGGGTGGGGACTTGGTTTTAAGGTATTACTTCCGGGCCCTCCCTAGATGGTGGTGGATGTCTTCTTATTTTTTAATTAGTCATCTTCTGGAAGACTAAGAAGTGGAAAATTTTAGACCAGTTGCCAAATTGTGACTCTAGGCTGTAGCCTGCAGGTTAAACACTGAGACGCCCAGCTTGCTGGCAGCACTTGTGGGCAGAACAAAGCAGCCCCTGCAGGGGAGTGTTCCAGGGCTTCTGAGGGGAAGGCTTACTGCCCCGCCTTGGAAGGGGCTTGTGAATTGTGAAGGCCAAGCTGTTTAGTCCATGTGGGTGTACTTCCTGAAAGCTGATTTTCTAGGGCAGCACTGTCCAATAGAACTTTCTATGTAGATGGAAATGGCCTATAATCTTCACTGTCCAGTTCTGTGACCACTGGGGCCATGTGGCTACTGAGCAGTTGAAATAGCTAGTGCAACTGAGGAACAGAATTTAAAATTTTATTTAATCTTAATACATTTAATTATTAATGATCATATGTGTATAGTGGTTATGTTATGCACAGTGCAGTTCTAGGCTGTTGCCCCTATCCCCCACTTTGCTTCAGGGATATGTGGCCTTATTCTTTTCTCAGATCAGGTACCCCCACCCCTAAGTTCTTGAAGTCTTTTCTCTGTCTCTAATGTCTTCCATACTTTTGGAGGAGGAGAGGGGGTAAACACGAGTGTTGTACAGTAAACAAAATGGTCTGTGTTGTTCTCCACTTGCCTCAGATGCGCCTTTTCTCCCCAGCTGGATTGAGATCTTCACAGAGCTAGCTGTTCTGCCTGTTCCTTTTGTCGTCTATGTTGTATAAGTTGTGCCCATTAAATATTGTCAACTGATTAATTGATTTGCCCTTTTTAACTGATTTCTCCCCTTTTTCCCAGGTGCCTTGAAGAAGAGTCTCACAGCCGAGCAGGTCCGGGCTGATTTCATAACTCTGGGTAGGTTATCACCAAGGTTGCTCAGAGTGACAGGCCTTGCATCTCTTTATTACATTAACGTCTCCCTGTGTTCTCTCGTAGGTCTTAGTGAAGAGAAAGCCACTTACTTTTCTGAAAAGGTATTGTAATTCCTCTTAATCAAGGTTAATTAAGATCGCTTGCTTTTATTCCACGAAAAGAAACAAATGAAACATGCCAACTAAGGAGAAACCATCAATCATTATGTGTCATTTTCCCAGCTTAATGGTTTTCATTTGATTTCATGCAAATGACATACATCTAGTTTTTAAATTGCACTATTTAGTGCATCTGTAATTTTTATGTCTTTTTCATTAGTGTATTCCTGTGATTTGACTAAATATAAATGTCATACTGTTGTTGTCCCAACATGGATTTAATCTGGGAATGCAAAAATATTTATATTGTCTACTGCTCCTCTATACTCCCCCAGTCCCCAGATCTATTAATATAGACTAGCCCTCGGTTCTGCATTCTTTCTATTGTCTGTATAAATATCTACACATTCTGTGTTGGGGGAGGAATGAAGAGGGGAGATTTTTCTCATTGTTATGACTTTGGCTTTTTGCTTTTGTTCCAGTGGAAGCAGAATGTCCCCACCCTTGCTCGATGGGCCGTAGGTCAGACTCTGATGATTAACCAGCTTATAGATATGGAGTGGAAATTTGGAGGTAACTAGTTAGAGCCAGTCTCGAGTCCTTTGGGTGATGTAGGGTTGGGTTGCAGAGGCTTTTAAATAACTTCATTGAGGAAGAGGTGTGCTTGGTCCTCAAAGACAGTTGGGGCCAGCAACTGCCTCTCTGTGTTGCCATCCACATTCAGTAGCTGTTTCTGTCCATGGCTGTTGATATGTTAACTTCCCAAAAAGCACATTTTGCTGTCCTTATACTCACCCCCATGTGGCTTCTGCTGCACAACTTGCAGTATTGGGGTCTTCAGAATGGGTCCTCAACCAGTCACTTACTAGTTCTCTCTTTTGTGTCATAGTGACTTCTGGGAGCAGTGAATTGGAAAAAGTGGGAAGTATTTTTTTACAAGTAAGTCTTTTCCTGATCATTTAAAGTGGGTAGATTTTTGACTTGGTTAAAAATTATTAAATCTACATTGGGTTTCTTAAATATCTGATTAAATAGATGTTCCACTGAAGTGCCTTGTGCAGCTCAGGGCAATGTAGTCAGCCAAAGACATGGTCACCAACATGCTTACTTTCAGATTAATACATCCAGGTATTATTCTTAAAAGTTTGATTGTTCCTGTAATCATGGGAGTTGTTAGAAGTTTTAGTGGGCAATCCAGACTGCTCCTTTATAACTCTAAAGTTAGAAAGTAGATGCTTTGATGTTTAAGTGAAAGTTCAGGTATCAAGGATTTCTTTGCCCAGTTGTCTTATTTTTTTTAATCCTCAGGGTTTTATTGTCACATAGTAAAACAAAATATGAAGCTTAGAGCTGGATCAGTTGGCCCTGATACTTCTTATCTTCTCCTAGTTTAAAATGCTTGCATCCCTTTTTTTTTTTCCCTTTATTGATTTTAGAGAGAGGAGGTGAGAGGGAGAGAAAGATAGAAACATCGATGAGAGAGAACATCAATTGGCTGCCTCCTGCATGCTCCCCACTGGGGATTTGGCCCATAACCTGGGCATGTGTCCCGACCAGGAATGGAACTGGCAACCTCCTGGTGCAGGGGTCAGTGCTCAACCACTGAGCCACACTGGCCGGACTGCTTGCATCTCTTAATAGCCAGCATTCTCTTAGATCTGCAGCTGGGTTCACGCATTCAAGCCTCAGCACAATCTTTGTAGTTTTAGCCTTTTTGTGGAATCGGTTTAGTCTGCCCACCACAGCCACTCTCTTTCCTATCATAATGCTGTTCTCCCTGCACATAAGAGAATCCTTGCCCTTCTTGTACTGCGTTACTTTATGGGTTGATGATTGCCACACTTCCTCCAGAAAGTCCGACGGGTTTTAGACATGTTCACCACGTTTGCCAGAGCTCAGCTGTCATTTTAATTTAATTTTTTAATTTCTTCTTTTTAATCAGTTAAAGTTGGTGCTTAAGAAAGGAAACCAAACTGAGAATTTATATATAGGTGAGTTCAAATTCCCATTTGAACCTTTTCACTTCTTTACTGTTCCCTTACTCATTATAGCCCACCACAAATAATTTCTTCCAGAAAAAAAGTAATTACTAAGCTGTGTTGTAACCACTGCCTTTCCTCTCATAAAAGATGGTACAGAGATGATTAATAAGCCATTGGCAGGCTGGAGACCCCAGAGTTGAAGAACCTTTCTGAAAAAGGGGAAAGGTGGGGGGTGGAAGGCAAAGATTGAAGAACAAGCAGCTCTTGCTGTGGACGTCACATTCAGCATCCTGACTAATGCCCTTCCTCTCTATTCTCTGGAGTCAGCTACTTGAAACCCTTCCGTTTTTATGAAGCTGAGAACAATCCTGTGTTCAAGTGCTCTCCGTTTTTTGTTTTAATAATTTTTCTTTATTGATTTTAGAGAGAGAGGAAGGGAGAGGGATAGAGAGATAGAAACATCAATGAGAGAGAACATTGATTGGCCACCTCCTACATGCCCCCCACTGGGGATCAGGCCCACAACTCGAGCATGTGCCCTGACTGGGAATCGAACCAGTGACCTCTTGGTCCATGGGCCAACCACTGAGCCACACCAGCCAGGCAAGGCTCTCCGTGTTTTATTGTGATCAATTACTTATCAAGATCTGCTTGGTTGTACTAAGCCAAAAGAGAAGGGGAAAAAAATCCTCTGAGGGGGAATTAATTGTCTTGGGTGATTCTGTGGAATTGGAAACATTTACCTAAAGCTGAATTTTCTTCCCCCAGAATTAACCTTGCCTCAGTTCTACAGCTTTCTGCATGAGATGGAGCGAGTCAGAACCAGCATGGAGTGTTTCAGCTGATTTCTGTCCCCCTGCATCTCCACCTTGCCCCCTCCCCTGCCGCCTCCACTTCTGTGGGTGACTATTCTAAGAAGCACCTCACTCTCAGGCTGGTGGGGCACTGATTTGACTCTGCTTGCTTCTTGGGAGCCCAGGTGCAAAGACTTCTGAAAAACAACAGGATTAAGTACTTAAAGAGCCCTACACAATTACCCTGTAAATTCTTTGTTAAGGGAACCTCCACCACCTATCTCCCAGAACACTTGTTAGATATTCAAACAGACTAGCATCTCAGATTCAGGGAGGAAATACGGGAGTCACCTCCCCATCAAAGTTCCAGAGTAAACAAATGGTGCCATCACTGAAGATGCAGGCTGATCACCCTCCCCACAAAAAGCAAGGGCTTGTTTATGGCTAGGAAGAAGATCACTCTGTTAATGACACACGGATAGTCCCTAACAAGATTTCTACATTCTATGGTTGTGGGATGGTGGTGCATTGCTAATCATTTTTTTTAAATATGTTTTTTTGATTTTCCAGAGGGAGAGGAAGGGAGGGAGAGATAGAAACATCAATATTAGAGACAGACATCAATCAGCTGCCTCCTGCACACCCCCTACCGGATCAAGCCTGCAACTCTGGCATGTGCCCTGACTGGGAATCAAACTGATGCTCTAACCCTGAGCCACACCTGTGAGGGCATACATTTTTATTTACTTATTTTTATTGACTTTAAAGAGGACAGGAGAGGGAGAAACACTGATGTGAGAGAAAAATGTTGATCAGTTGCCTCCTGGCCAGGGATCAAACCCACCTCTTTTGGTGTATGAGACAACACTCCAACCAACTGAGCCACACTGGCCAGGGCCAGACATTTTTGAAGAGATAATATATACCCATGACTCAAGAGATACAGTGTAAAGTAATTCCTTCTCACCCCCATTTCTCAGTTACCTAGTTCCCCGCCCCAGAGGCGACCACTATTACTTGTTTATTCTGTGTACTTCTATAGATATTTCATGCATTTGCAAATATATACACATATGATTTGACTCCCCCCGCCCCACATAAATGGTAGCATACTACACATACAGCGTTTTTTCCACTTAAATTGGAAATCATTCCACATCAAACAGAGAAACCACCCTCATTCTTTGTAAGAAATGTACCATGTTTCTTCAAGTGGATGATTTATTTAACCAGTTTCCTACTGATGGGTGTTTACATTATTTCTATTCATTTTCTCTTATAAACAGTGCTGCAACTGAATTTTTTTTGTATGTATGTAATTTTGCATGTGTGAAAGTACATTTATAAGGTAAATATATGAATGTGGAATTACTGGGTCAAAGAATATGTGTGTTTTGTTTCTTTGTTATTTGTTTGTTTGTTTTAGAGGAGGAAAAGGAAGGAGGGAGGGAGAGAAAGAGAGAAACACTGATATAAGAGAGAAACATTGATTAATTGCCTCCTGCACATGCCCTGACTAGGAATCGAACCTGCCACCTTTTGGTGTATGGGACAACGCTCCAACCAACTGAGCCACACTGGCATGGGCTATATATGTGTTTATCAAAGAGTATTAAAAAGAGTAAAGCTGCCCCGACGGTATGGCTCTGGATTGAGCATTGTCCCTTGGACTGAGAGGTCCTAGTTCGATTCCCAGTCAGGGCACATGCCCGAGTTGTAGGCTCCATCCCAAGTTGGGGGCGTGCAGGAGGCAGCTGATTGATGTTTCTCTCACATTGATGTTCCTATCCCTCTCTCCCTAAAACACTCAATTAAAAATATTTTTTAAAAAAAGGGTGCCCTGGCCAGTTTGGCTTAGCGGTAGAGCTAAGCCAGTTTGGCTTAGCATACCAATGAGTCATGGGTTCCATTCCGGTCAAGGGCATGTACCTTTGTTGCAGTGGTTGCAGTTCGTCCCCGGCCCTGGTTGGTGTTGTGTGGGAGGCAACCAGTTAATGTGTTCCTCTCCCGTCGATGTTTTTCTCTCCCTCTCTCTCCCTCCCACTGTATCTGAAGATAAATAGAAAAATATCGTCAGGTGAGGATTTAAAAAAAAAAGGAGTAAGCAGAAAGGTCCCTGTTCCTTGTTTCCCATCTACTTGGTTCCCCTACTGCCCTCCTCCAACAGGTGCCCCCTGCTGTACTTTCTTAGGTACCTTTGTACAGGTTTTCCCCCACATATAAGCAGTAGTAATTTAAATTTTTACTCTTTTTTTTGTTATTGTTTATACAGATGTTTATATTACTATACACATTATTTTTTTAAATTGATTTTAGAGAGAGAGGAAGAGAGAAGGAGAGAGAGAGAGAAACATCAATGAGAAAAAACATCAATTGGCTGCCCCTTGCATGCCCCACAAGTGGGGATTGGGCCCTCAACCTGGGCACGTGCCCCAACCGGGAATCGAACCGGCGACTCTTGGTGCATGGGTTGACACTCAACCACTGAACCACACTGGCTGGGCTATACACACTATTTTTAATATATCCTGGAGATCTTTCCTTCAGTTCATAGAGTCTGCATTCTTTTCTGTGGTTGCAGCAGATTCTCCTATGTCGATGGGTCATAACCAGCATTTGCAGTTTTGCTAAATAGTGCCAGTATTAGGGTTTTCCAGAGAACAGAACCAACAGGGGGTGGGGGTGGGGGTGTGGAAAGAGCTATTTCATTTTATTTTGTTATTAATTTATTGATTTAAGAGAGAAGTTGGGAGAAAGAGAAAGACGTTGATCTGCTATTCCACTCATTTATGCATTCATTGGTTGATTCTTGTATGTGCCATGAACCCGCTACCTTGGTGCGTTGGGATGATGGTCCAACTGAGCTACTTGTCCAGGGCCAAGATTTATTTATTTTTTTAAAAATTTTCTTTATTGATTTTAGAGAGAGAGAAAGGGAGAGGGAGAGAGAGATAAAAATATCCATGAGAGAGAACATTGATTGGCTGCCTCCTGCATGCCCCCCACTGGGGATCAGGCCCACAACTTGGGCATGTGCCCTCACTAGGAATCTAACCAGCGACTTCTTGGTGCATGGGTTGATGCTCAACCAGTGAGCCACACAGGCTGGGTTTTATTTTTTTTTATTTTTTTATTTTGTTTTTTTTTTTAATCCGCATCCAAGGACATTTTTCGATATTTTATTCAGATAGAGTGTGAGGGAGAGAGAGAGAGAGAAACATCGACGTGAAAGGGACACATCGAGTGGTTGCCACCCACACGACCCAATCATGGCGCTGGGACAAACTGCAACCGAGGTACATGCCCCTAGCGGGAACTGAACCTGGGTCTTTCCAGACCGCAGGCCGACGCTCTAACCACTGAGCCAAACCGGCCAGGGCTGGGCTTTATTTTAAAGCATTAGTTTACATGATTGTGGAGGTGTTGGAAGTCCAAAATCTGTAGGGGAGAGCGGCCAGCTAGAGACCCGGGGAAGAGTTACAGATCCAGTCCAAAGGCAGTTTACTGGCAGAATTCCTTCTTGCTGGGGGAGGCAGGGGAGTTAGTCTTTGTTCTGTCAAGACCTTCAGCTGACTAGAGGAGGCCCTCCTACATTATGGAAGGGAATCTGCTTTACTCTGATTTAAAAGTCCACCAATTTAAATGTTAATCTCATCCAAAAAACAGTTTCACAGAAACAGCCAGAATAATATTTGACCAAATATCTGGCTGTAGTGGCCCAACCAAGTTAATACACAAAATTAACCATCACAGTGCCAAACTGACCTCTACAAAGAATGTTCTAATTTATGTGAGATTACTCTCTACAAATATCAAAGAAGAGCAAATTGGTGCCTTTGGACAGAGTATCCAAGAGTGTCCATGAGGCTTCTGAGGGTCTCAAGTGCCTGAGAACATTAGAATCTAATGTAAAAAGAATTCACAGAATGTCAGGACAGGAAGGCAACTAAAATACAATCTAGTTGAATTCACTCATATTACAGATGGGGACCTGGAGGCCTTGAGACTGAAATGGGGTCGCTGGTCAGTGGTCAGGGCTGCCCCGTGAGCCTTGGGTTCCTGCTTGATTTAGAAATGGGATTCTGAGTGACCTGAAGGGAATTCAGCCTAGCAAATCATCCAGGGTTGTAGTCGGGGTTCTCTGTAAGAGTTGCACCTAGCTGGCCCCTGGGCAGATTTTGACCAAGGAGCTTCTTGTGCTGCCCAGTTCAGGCCCTCCTGACCCCTGGATCACAACAGTGGCTTCCAGATGCCTCCCCTCACCCTTCTTCAGTCTTCAACCTCACAGCTTCTACAATCTGACCTGTTCCCTTCATTCTTATCGGCAAATCTCATGTCAGCTGACATCCAAACGCTCGTGACTGCAAGGTGTCCAGGGTGAAATCCAAACTCAGCACTCCAAGTCCCACAGTGTGACCCTGCATACATCTTCCACCATTCCCATTTCCACTGCCCTCTGGCAGGTGTCCTGTACTAGAACATCTAATCTACCAGATGCTGATTGCCACCAGCTCATGAAGCCATCTGCCTCTTCTTGGGCCTGCAGTGCTTTCCCACACTTCAATATGTAGTATCCAGGGCACTTTTAAGCACCCATATGACACCTCTGCGCAATAATAAATACCTCTCGGGTCTCCTCCACACCTCTGTTGCAGGGGCCAAGAGTGTAGGCTCTAGAGTCAGACTGCTTGGGTTCCAATTCTGGCCCCTGTCTACCAACTGTGTGACCTCAGGCAAGCACCTCACCTCTCTGAACCTTTGTTTTCCCATTTGTAAACCCGGTATAGTTCTTGCCTCACAGGGTTATTGGGCAGCTCACTTAGCACAATGCCTGTTCAACCAAAGGTGAACTCTTCATTATCAAATTTTTGTTAAGTATTTTTTTCAAGATTCTCTTCCCCACCAGCCTGTGGGCTTCTTGATAAGAGACTTGTTTTTCAGCTCAGTAACTGCAACACTTGGGATCAGTCAGCTCTGCTCCACCCCCACCTGGTAATAGTCCCTATTGTTGAAATGAAAGGAGACTGCAGGTGGACCCACCATGGCAGGGTTGTTAACAGACAAACTTGCCTGGCTTTAGAAGAAGAAATCTGCGGAAGTTGGTTTGATGGTTGCTCTGTTTTAACATAGATCATAGATGAGTATTTAAGGCATCCAAGCTGGGCACCCATCTTCCAAGGGCTGTCTTCCAAGAGCAGTGGAACACCTTGCTCCCTGATTCACAAATATTCTTGGAGCACCTAGTATGGGCAGGGTTCTGCCGGACCCTGTGGGAGTAGGGTGATAGGCTGAGAGAAGAGATAACAGTTTGTCTTTTCAGGACCCTGTTTCTATCAAGAGGAGATTTATCCTCATTCCTATTTGCTGTAGTTCAGATCCCATTATGAACTCCGGGAACTATTCCAGCCCTTTGTGGTACTGGAATGTAGTCACAAATATCTGTTGAATAAGGAGCATTGATCAGGGCATTAGACTGTTAGGGATTTTGCTGTGGTGCTGAGGGGTTTGAACAGGTTTTTTTCTTACAGTTAGCACTTCATCATTGCATCAATTCACACCTACTACTATTTTGCGTAG